AACGGGGTTGCGATCTTCGAGTCGGTAAGGACCCTCGTGACTCCTGAAGCAGAATTCAAGTCAGAATGGCCTGAGAATCCAGGAGGGGTTATCTGCAGATATGTGTTTTGACTCTTGAGTTTTCTAGTTGTCAAAAGAAAATGATGCTTTTTTGAGTTTTTTTTTTAATATAAGCTTGGTTTATTCAATCATTTTCCTCTTATTTCTTTTGTATCCTTACTATTAATTATGTGCCCTTTCTCAGTTTAAGTATTTTACTGTAAGTTGACTGGATAAGATTTAGTCCATATTTTTGCACTTGAAAATTTTTTTACTTTAGCTCTTTACTTTTCTGAGGCTTTTTTTCCTACGATCTGTGTCTAGTAGCTATTCAGTAAGTTAAGTATATTCCATTGGTGAGGAAAGCTGATTAAGACCCCAGCTTCCCTGGAAGATGGCTGTGTTCCCATCTCCCTCCTGACTGCGCTGCTCTCCACCCATGCAGGTTCACGGGACCGCCCCGGACATCGCTGGCAAGGACATGGCCAACCCCACGGCCCTGCTGCTCAGCGCCGTGATGATGCTGCGCCACATGGGGCTTTTTGATCATGCGGCAAAGATTGAGACTGCGTGTTTTGCTACGATTAAGGATGGGAAGGTATCGGTAATCTTGCCATACTTGTGTGGGGTAAAATGCAGCTCCTTCCTGGGTTTTATCTATGAAGGAACAGATGATGGTTCTTCTCAAGGGGGCTGAAGGATTGGATGTCAAACAGGCATTCTGAGCTTGGCCTCCCTGAGTGAACTTGGGGCGTGTGGGCATTTTCTGAAGGGAGGAACCACATTATTCAGAAAAGGGTTGGGGAGCGCTGATGTAGACACAGCAGTGTGGGCGGAAGGGCAGTGCTGTGGGCGTCAGAGCCAGTTCCAGCCTCATCGTCCTGCTGTCAGTCGTGTGACCTGCGCCAAGTCCATTACTCTTTCTCCCGACAGATACCTGTTGTGTATGTTATAAGGTATGAAGGGTATAATGAGGAATAAAGGAAGGTCTCGGGCCTCAAGGAGCTTGGAATCTAGTGGCGGATACAGATGTGTCTGTCATACAGTGTGTTACAGCTGACACTATGTGCATCTGTGATACAGGTGTAATACAGGAGTTTTATAAACGCAATAATGACTGATGGCAATCGAATACTTACATGGTTTTATGTTCTTTATATCATGTCAGCAAATCTTCTCTACTACTCTGTGAAATAGATACTATAATTCCTCTTTAGAGATGAAGAGGCACAGAGGAATTAAGTAAATTTGTCCAAGGTCTCACAGCTCCGAAGTGGCAAAATTGGGGTTCATACCCAGTCTGGCTCTTACCCGACAAGCATCACTGTTGCCATGAGCAGCTGTGGCCCACACAAGGGGTGTGATGGATTACTCTGAAAGTGAGAGGGGATCAGAGGAGGTCATGGCTCCATGAGGCTGGGCCTGCAAGCTGATTCCTAATATGAGGTCTCTTCCTTTTTTAAAAAAGTTGTAGTAAAATGCATAATATAAAATCGACCATTTTAATAATTTGGAAGTGTCCTGTCCAGTAGTATTCAGTACTTTCACATTGTTGTGCAACCTTCACCACCATCCATCCCTAGACTTTTTCATTTTCCTAAACTGAAATTGTCCCCATCACTCAAGAAGGATTCCCCATTTTCCCAGCCGCTGGCAACCACCATTCTACTATCCTTCTCTGTGAATTTGACTCCTCTAGGTACCCCATGTAAATGGAATCATGTAATATTTATCCTTTTGTAACTGGCTTATTTCACTTAGCGTAATGTCTTCAAGGTTGGCTCCTTTCTAAAAAAATCCTATAATTTGAAATTCTTATGGGCAAATACAAGAAATCTAAGCTTGCTTTTTAAACAACCTTATAGTCATATTGAAGGGCATATGGTTATGTATTTTTTTTTATTCTGATGCTGTATCTGAGAAGCTACTCTGTAGAGCCCAGCAGAGCGGTGCCTAAGTTACACAGTAGGCCCTTTAAATTGTGTCAGATGCAGTGGGACAAAATAATTAAATATATTGAGTTCTGTTTGGGAGTAAAGAGAGCATAAGCTGGTAGAAAACAGAGTGGCTAAATGGGAGAATTTCTTTCCTAAAGAGGGAAGTCTAAGAGTTAGTGATTTAAATGCCATTTGCAGC